TTTAAAATTACTCTGTGTCAATCTTTCAGAGAGAAGAAAAATAATAAAAAAAGTAAATCACTCTGTTTACAAATGTGTACTGTGAACCATCAGAATACAGATTCTAAAATGTTTATGTGTGTAGCATCTTTGATGATCCAGTATAAAAAGTCTGTGAGATATCCATCTGCTAATCTAAACAAAACCTGTGCTGCACAAGTTTCTGAGAGGATGATATCAATGTCTCTACTGTAGTATTAGCGAAATCATGAGCAGGAAAATATACCCAATCTGTGTATTTCAGTTTACAAAGAGTACCTTTTTTAAAAAATATACATATAGAAAAAGAAATCAATAAAAAAGTATATATAATACATATAATTAAGAGAATAATTGAGAAGAAAAGAAATGAAGAGCTTATAAATGACCATATTCCAAGGTTTTTGATGGCAGCACACTGTAGACAAGCTGGAAGAATGAGCGGAAATACCTCCATCACATCTTTTCTGCACCAATCTACATGCTTCTATCCTAAAGTACTGATTAAATAGCCATAGTGATTCTGAAAGTTGTTCATTTTTTATCTGTGTTTATTTTACTTCCATACAGCTAAAGAAAACGTGAGTATATTGACTATTCTCCTGCCATTTGTCAGAGTATTGATTAAAGAAATGATACTGTTCCTTATTCAGAAACATGGTTATTTTTCAGCAGTGTTTATAAAATGGATACTACTGAAATTCAACAGAGATTAATATGACCACGGGATGTCTCATAGCATAATGAACTATGGTTTTCTGATATATATACCATATAATAATATATAAATTCACACCACGCCATACATACATGATTTTTTTAAAGGAAAACCTCCCATAGAGAACTTATTTGACATTTTGAAATAAAAGATAATTCAAACAAAGGGCCTATTGAATCTTGCCTTAGCTAACCTTCACTCCAGTGCAAAAAGTTTGTTTTTTTGGTGACCAGATAATATAAAAAACCTATTTAGATAAACATGTGACTTTAGTTTGTTCTCCATCTCAATTAGATTTTCCTTTGCTGACCTGGTATAGCGTCTGCCTCTGAGTTCTCTGTAATGAGATGTAGCAGATGAAGGCTACACCTTGTCTTTCCTACAGAGTATAAGCACTGCGAGAAGCCAAGCATGCTTTTCTGGATTTGCTGGGTGAAGAAGAAACATGATATTCCTTTTTCTCAAGTCTTGTACTTCCTGTGTTAATATAATATCCCAACTTCCTACTAGTAGTTATTTTATATTTCTCATTTAATCTTCCATAACACTTCCCTAAGTTGGTAATATTATTATTATTAACATTCCCTTTTACGTGATGAACACTGAGGCTCCATTGATTATTATGTGGTTTGCCCAACACCAAGCCAGCCAGCTGTCAAGACACTTTTTTCTCATTCCTAACCCAGTATTCTTTTGCTTTTACCATTCCTACTTCTTGTTTCTATTCTTTTTTCTAATCTCTATCCAAATGTAGATGTCCTATCCTCAAGACATCTCCACTCAGATGTTCCATTATAAGGAAGAAGCCACAAACCCAAGGGAGTTATTTCTTCTTTACTCCATGAATCTCAGGCTGTCACCAAAATTATCTACTCATCTTTTGAATATAAATTTCACCTCTTTCCTTTCCATAGTCATGCCACTCCTTGAAGTTTTAGAAAGGCAGAGTTCTGATTAGGAATCAAATTTCACCCAGATACACGAAGTCAAACAACTGGTTGATCAGTGGAAGGAATATCAACCTATATTTTTGGTCATCATGTAAACTATTCTAAGAGTAAGTTCCTACTTTTCACTATCCACAGTGGTTTAGGAGAGATAATCGTAGTAAAACACGTTTTAAATATGCTGAATGTATGTCCTGTAAGACGATTCTAGCATAGGATTGTTTGGTCATCCGTTCTACACTATCCTTCCTGAGGCCTCTAGCAGCTTGTCACAGACGCAGCATGACTAGCCGTTGCATGGTCATCCTCATTTTCATCATCATAGCCAACCACTGATTTCCATTTGCCCTGTGTTGTGCACTACACCTCTCCTAACTTCTGCTTGCCACTCCTCTCAAGGTGCATGTGTTTGCTTGTGAAGGCTCAGAGAGAAATGATACCAGTCCTGGGACCAGTTGCCAGTAGGGTGGGATGCATTCTCAGGCCTTCACATGTATCTTACCTAGTGTTCTGTTTATTCCTTCCGTGATCATGGTGCTTGCCAAAGATACTCATAGCATCCAAGATGCTTTTCAGTTTCAGGAAGTGTTTGAGTTAACAAGGCAAGCAGATGCATGAAGTTCAGCCAACCTA